CGACAGAGTCACCGACAGGTCCTTGAAGAACTTGTCGATCATGGCCGGGATGAGGCCGTCCGCAGTGCCGATGTTCTTGTAGCGCACGTGCAGCGCGACCGCCTCGGCCTCGCGCTCCGCGCCCGGCCGGATGGTGCCCACCTCGATGATGTCGAGGAGGTACTTGTGTTGCTTCGCCGCGGTCCGCAGGTTGCGGAACCACTCGTTGAACTCCCGCTCGGAGCTCTGTTTGTAGGCCGGAATCACCAGCTTGTCCGTCGACGACATGTTGTCGTAATGTCCCGGGGATCGTTGCCCCGCCGCTACCAACTGTGAAGGTCTTCAGTGACCACTCACAAGCTGTTCCAAGGCCCGACAGAAATGTACTGTCAAAACTTTGTTCAAACAAAAGTCCTGGCCCGCGGCCCCCACACCCACAATGACTATCAATCCAGGCTGCGGGTGAAGGGCAAAACCGCGCCGCTGCAGAACGGTTTTTGCAAAACCGCGCCGCAGCGGTACGAAACTGCGCAGATGCAGTCCAGGGGTGGTAAGGACACTATGTGTGTGTGTGTGGCCGTAGACTAGACGGCTGCGCGGTCGTCGGTCTTCAACACGGACTGAACGAGCCCAGGAAACGCCTTGTTGATGGACTTGACGTGGTTCCACCAAGCGTTACCTGCGGATGTCGATGTACTTGCTGGCAGACAGCTTGAAACCGGTCTGCGTCTTGGTGATGGTGAGCCCGAGGAACTCGTGCACCTTTCCCTCGTGGACCTTGAGCGGCTTGCCGACGTGCTTGTTGAAGTGCTCGATGTACTCGTACGCGAGCGCCTTGCCAGCGGTGGTCCCGGAGTGGAAGATGCCGAAGTCGTCCACGTAGATGACGACGATGAGTTTCGTGCTGTTGCGGGTGAGGGTGAAGCAGCTCGGGTCCGCCTCGGACTGAACAAGCCCAGGAAACGCCTTGTTGATGGACTTGACCTTGTTCCACCAAGCGTTACCTGCGGATGGTGCGCCGTAGAGGTTGCCGACCTCGCACACCATGTCCTTCTCCTCGCCGGTGATGGGGTCGATGTAAGCGGTATTCGCCTGAGATCGCCGTCGCCGATGCCCTTCAACCCGAACCCGGATCGCGCGCGGCGCGGCGCAGGCGCGACGGCCCTTGTGCCTGCGCCGGCACCTGCGCCGGCGCCTGCCGCCACGGCCCTCGCCGCGGCGGCGCCGGCTGCAATTGTGATGGCTTAGTTTGGTTCTCCCCTAGATAGGCATGAGCGAGCGAGAGCCGGAGAGGGCGCGTGTGTAGGCAGCTTCCGAGAGTTGAGATACACTAGATACACTGTGTATCCACCCAAGTTCTGGATACACTGGATACATATCTAACACCCATGGAGTCCGACGGCCGGTGCAGGCAGGCAGGCGAGCACGCTGCATGCGCGTGGAACCTGCCGGCGGCGACCTGAAACTCCGCGCCTTTCGTCGACACCCTGGTAGTGACCACTCCAGGAGCACGCCACACGGTTGTGATGCCGAGAGAGGGCTGTGAGCCCGGCTGCGGGGCGCGCGACGTGCAGACAGGGTTGCCAGGTGAGAGCGAATGGCGCGGTGTTCACGCCTCGCGCAACAGAGAGAGAGATGCAGAAGATGAAATAACGGCACGCCGGCGGTCTCCGATTCTTTTGCAGTGCCAGTGCACGCCAGACCCGTGCTCGCTTCGTAAAATTCTTCAAGCCTGAATCGTTGTGCTTTGGGCGGGCTCCTGGCATCGGCGCCAGCCTGTACCCGGGTACTGCGCCGACTGCCAAAAATGCCGCTGGGGCTGATCGGCTCCGCCGCCTTCTACCTCGCTTCGTCCGCGGGCATGAGCATTCTCAACAAGCTCGCCGTCACCGCGCTGCCGCTGCCCGTCACCCTCGTCGTGATCCAGATGGCCTTCACGACTGCGACGACGCTGTGCGGCTGGCGGCTGATACACATTGGCTCGTTGCGCGATGCGCTGCGCTGGGGCTGCACGGTGCCGCTGCTCTTCAACGCGATGCTCGTCTCATCCATGTTTGCGATGCGGCACAACACTCTCGGCACCATCGCCGTCTTCCGCAACATTGCGCCGCTCTTCACCCTCGCCATCGAGCGCGTGTTCCGCGTGCCCATCGAGGTGGACGGGCCGACGATCGCTTCGCTTCTCACCATCGTCCTCGGCGTCGGCATCTACCACGCGGCGAGCATCCAGTTCTCCCGCGTCGGCCTCACCGCCATCGGCGTCAACATTGTCTTTGCGGTGCTCGAGCGGATCCTGCAGCGCTACCTGCTGGCGCAGGAGCCGGTCGACCTCTCCAAGCCGGGGATGATGCTGCTGAACAACGCCGTCGGCATCGCCATCAACGGCGTCCTCCTCGTCGCGTTCGGAGAGGCGTGGAGCGCGGGCGCGGCGGGCGGCGAGCCGCCCGCTCTGGGCAGCGTGCTGTGGGGGCTCACGCTGGGGCAGTGGGGGGTGGTTGCCGCCTCGTGCGCGAACGGCGTGGCGATCTCGTACGCCGGGCTGCGCGTGCAGCAGCTCGTGACGGCGACCACTTTCATGGTGCTCACCAACGCGAACAAGCTCATCGTCATCCTGTATGGCGCCGTCGCGCTCGGCGAGCGGACGTCGCTCTCGGCCGCCGTGGGCATGGCGCTCTCCCTGGTCGGCTCCTTTTGGTACGCGAGAGCCCGCGCCGCCCTGAGCGCGCGGCCGAAGCCCATCGTCGACGGCGAGGCAGCGCGGCTGCTCAAGCCGGTGCCGTAGCCGGCGTCGAAGGCGAGACACTGATCACATCTGATCACTGTGCGCCGCCTTGCAGCCCTCGTGTCCGTCGCGTTTTTCATGTGAACATCGCGACTCGTGTGTGACGTGTCCATGTCCATGTGTGTGTGCCCCCTGCGGTTCTGCGATCCATATCGATATTTGTTTACGAGAAGGACCGCCCCTCTGCACGCCTCACACCGCTTTACACGCGCCTGGCGGGGACATTTTCGAGTGCGCGGCCTCGAGGGCAGCCGGGAGGGCGGCACGGAAGACTGCGAGGTCGGTGTCGTCGCTGCACGATACGCGGATGCACCGATCCAACGGCGCCGCCCCAGGCATGCGCACAAAGATGTCGCGCTCGAGGAGCTCGGCGAGAATGAGCCGCGCAAAGGCGCCGTCCCTGCCGCAGTCGATGGTGACGAAGTTGGTTGCGCTGGGCAAGGCTGCCAGCCCGTGCTCGTCCGCGATGCCCCCCAGAGTGGCTCGGGCGTGGGCAACCCTCCCTCGCAGCGAGTGGAGGTGCGGCTGGTCCTGGAGCGCGGCGAGCGCCCCCGCCTGGCTCACCCTGCCGATGCCAAAGTGGTTGCGCACCTTGTCAAACGCGGAGATGATCTCCGGTGCGCCGAGCGCGTACCCGATCCGGCAGCCCGCGAGTCCGTACCCCTTGGAGAAGGTGCGCAGGCGCAGCACACGCAGGTCGTCGACTGCGACGTGCGCGTTCGCGTCGAAGTCGACGCCGAGCTCGTGGTACGCCTCGTCCACGAGCAGCAGGCAGCCGGGAGGGAGGCCCTCGACGAGCTGCTCGATGCGCTCGGCAGGGTGCCACGTGCCGCTGGGGTTGTCCGGATTCACGAGGTAGAGCACCTTCGCATCCACCTCCCACGCCTTGGCCAGCAGCGCGTCCAGGTCCTGCCGGTCGTCGTCGCCGTAGGGCACAGTGTGCAGGTGGCCTCCGCGCCCGGCTACGAAATAGTTCAAAGTCGGGTAGGTCCCGCGGGTCGTGACCAGAGCGTCGCCCGGCGCAATCAGGAGGTGAGCTGTGTACGCCAGGAGCCCGTCCACTCCCTCACCAACCACGATGTTGAGCGGGTCGACTCCGTGCTGGTCGGCAAGGGCCGCGCGCAGCTCGTAGGATTTGGGGTCGCCGTACATCCACGCCGAGCTCGATGCCTCCGCCATGGCTCGCACGGCCTTCTCGGAGGGCCCGAACGTGAGCTCGTTTGCGCCCAGTCGCACCGCAAAGCGCCGGCCGCGCGAGCGCTCAATCTCCTCGGGCGCGACAAAGGGCACGATAGACGGCAAGGCCTGCACGATTGGCGTGAAGCGGGGGCCGGTGATGATACCACGGCGAGCTAGCGGGCTGAAGCGAGGCGTCATCGTCATCGTGGGGTCCTGTTGCAATATCTGTGGTTTGTTACTCCTATTCACACCCCCACACACAGTGGCTTGCGGGCATTAAGAAAACGCCGCCGTTTCTAAGCCTTTCCACAGCCCTCACCCACCCCACGCCGTGGTTTCTTAGCTCCGGCCGTACCATGCGGAATCGACCCTATCAAGTAAGTGCTCAAGAAAGAGCTCAAGCTCCGGCCGGCACTCAAGCCAGAGCCGGCCCGAAGGATTTTTAGGTAAGTAATAAGCTGCGGTCCGCGAGGGCGATGCCAGAGTCTGCCGCCGAGTCGGCTCTCTGGATGACGGGAAGACGCACACAAGCCTCCATCCACTCGCACTCCACTCAGAACACTACCGCAGACTTGGAAAGTGACAAGTGCGCGCGCCGCAGGCGAAGAGAAATTTGCGGGGCTCCCGTTCACACTCGTGTCTGGCTGGCCTTTTCTCGGGGCCGCGCCTGCGGCGCGCCGTGGTTTCTTAGATTTTCGCGGAAATCGCTTGGTAGGGTTTCTTAATGGTACGTTTTCTTAATGCCGCAACCCGCTGTAGGACAGCCGTTTTGTTTTAATTTTACGTGGCCCCCGCGGGGGGGGGGGGGGGGCATGGCTGGTTGTTGGTGTGAGGGGCTGAAAAGAATTTCACCCCTGGGCACGACACCTCCCTAGGGCTTTGTGTTTTCTTTCTTTTTACACTGACTGGGCACGGGACTGGCGCGCTGAAAAAGAAAAAAATTGCAGTGCCCGTGCCTGCGTGTCTGCGTGGTGACATCATCAGGAACCCGAAAAAAATCAGGTCGACGCGGACGCGGACAGGTCATGTCCAGAACGACGGAGGACGCGGACGGACCACGGACTATGGAGATCTCCGTCCAGGCGGCAGGTGCCGACCACGACGCGCTCGTCGCGAAGAACTGGAAGAAGCAGTGGTTGGCCAACGGTCGCGAGGAGAGCGGCATCACTGCGGACCAGATGGACAAGATGCTCGCCTACATCAAGGCGGCGCGCTCCGACCTGTGCCATCAATCGTTCGTGGCGGTCTCGCCATCCGGAGTGGTGGTCGGCTCGGCCGCGTGCCAGCTTTGGTCCGGTCCCGCGCCACAGTTCGACGGTGACAAGGCGGGCACGGTATGGGGGGTGTTCGTCGAGCCCGAGCACCGGCGGCGAGGGGTGGCGACGCGGCTCATGCAAGCGGTGATTAAGCACTGGACCTCGATTGGCTGCCAGCGAGGTGTCCTGCTGTGCGCCTCAGAGGAGGCGCGCCGCGTCTACGAACGGCTCGGCTTCGGGCCGGGGCACATGCTGCTGCTGGAACTCCAGCCGAGTGATGCCGCCGCGCCTGCTCCGAGCTCCGTCACCCTCGAGACGGCGCACGGCGCAGAGGCCGACATGCTGCTGCTGGAACTCCAGCCGAGTGATGCCGCCGCGCCTGCTCCGAGCTCCGTCACCCTCGAGACGGCGCACGGCGCAGAGGCCGACGCGCACGTCCTCCGCCATCTTCGCGCCAAGCACCTGGAGGAGCGAGCCCCAGGAGCCAGCCGCTGGGCCGGGGAGGAGCTCCCTGAGCGAGCTGCTGCCTTCGTCAAAGGGGCGCGGGAGCGGCTCGAGTACGCGGTCTGCGTGGCTCGCGACGCCACGGGCGCAGTTGTGGGCTGCGCGTCGAGCAACGTGTGGGAGGGTCCTGGGTCGAACAACCACTCGTGGCAGACGCTGATCAAACTCGGCGTCGTGTGGGGCCTGCATGTCGATCGCGAGCAGCGCGAGCGCGACGCGGTGGCGGCGGCGCTGCTCGAGCACGTGGTCGCTCGGTGGAGGGAGACGGGCTGCACCAAGGGCTTCGTGATGGCCGCTTCGGACGCCGAGGCGGCCCTCTTTCGACGGGCGGGCTTCGAGGCGCACAATGCCATGACCATCGAGCTCGGCCGCGCACCTAGCCCGACGTCGCCAATCGACCTCCTCCGCGGAGTGGCCATGCGGCAGCGGACCTGTGCAGCGGAGGCAGCGGCGGCGGCGGCGACGGCTGAGGCGGAGGCCGACTTTGTCGCGTCACTTCGCGCGTCGGGGGCCGCGCTCGCGCAGCAGGTGCCCGCGTCGCGCCTCGCGCTGCTGCGGCTCGCGCTGCCGCAGATGGTCGAGGCGGCACTGCCCGCCACGGGTGCGGGCAGGGAGCTTGCCGCCGCGGTGGTGGAGGCGCAGGCGGCCACTGGCACCCACATCGACCCCGAGTCCAACTGGTACACGAAAAACATCGCCAGGTTTGGCGGCGGCTTCGACATGAAGGCGTTGACTGCGCAGCCGGGGCTGCTCGCCGCCAAATTCGACCGGATGGCGAGCAAGTACGCAGTGTGGACCGTCGGCAACCGCTGCACCTACTACGATTGGATCGCGCGATCGGCGCGCGCCGCGACCGATGAGCTGCGAGGTGAAGGGGCGGTTCTGGACGTGGCCTGCGGGATCGGTCTTCCGGGGCACCAGCTCCGCCTGTGCGGCTTCGAGGGCCACATGAGCGGCACTGACCTCTCGGTCGGGATGCTGGCGAGAGCACGGGAGCGGCGAGTCTACAACCGCCTCTTCCTCGCCGACGCCAACGCCGGCCTCGCCGCGGTCGAGTCGGAGAGCCTCGACCTCGTGCTCTGCGTTGGTGCGCTCGAACTCCTCGACCATGCCATCTGCCTCCCGGAGTTTGCCCGCGTGCTAAAGCCAAAGGGTGAGCTGTGGGCGAGCTTTCAGTGGGAGGACGCGGTCGACGAGAGCGGGGCCGCGATCGCCAGCCCCACACGCCACCAGAACGTGGCGGGCGTGACGCTGTCCGAGCTCGCTGCGAAGCTAGAGATGTCGGGCTTCGATTTCGATACGGCGCACGTTGAGAAGAGTCACTGCGCCTTCTACACGCCCTCGCCTGCGCAAGACGGCAGCTCCTTGCCTGTGCCGTACCTGTACGTGAAGGCGCGACTTGCAAGCGCACCGGCAGTCGCCCCGGCCGATGTGTAAGGCGTTCGTAAGTGCTTGTCGGATGTAGCTGAAATGTACTGAAAGCGATCGCTCGCAGAGAGAACTCTACAGGAGAAGAGGAGTGGTGTGTGTGAGCCCGGGCACACACTGTCTCGTATATTTAGCCACACCGCACATCCCTGGTCTGGACGATTTTTTTCACGGTATCCGCGGCGAGATATGGCGGGATACCGCGGGCGATACCGCGGGATACTGCGGGATACTGGGAGATGCCGGGAGATGCCGGGAGATACGAGATACGGGGAGATACCGGGGGAGACGGGTCGAGATACGGGAGGCTGCGCTGCGCAAGCACGGGCGGGAGGGGCTTCTCCTGCGGAGTCGTGCGTGCGCAGGGCTCCTCTTTGCTTTCTTCTACTCCCTACTATCATCTCGTTCCCGTCCTACCAGAGAAAGAGATACGGGCAGATACGGGCAGATACGGGCAGATACGGGCAGACACGGCACACGGGCAAATGCGGGGTTCTTTGTGGCAAATATATCGCAAGGGCGGGGACCTGTTCCTTACCCATCTCACAGTAGAGGTGTCCGTTTTTATTTATTTACTCACACACACACACACACACACACACACACACACACACACAGAGAGAGAGAGAGAGAGAGAGAGAGAGAGAGAGAGAGAGATGAGAGAGAGAGAGAGAGAGAGTCACACACACACACACACACACACACACACACACACACACACACACACACACACACACACACACACACACACACACACACACACACACACACACACACACACACACACACACACACACACACACACACACACACTTACTCACTCACTCACTCACTCACTCTCACCCCCTCGCACTCGCTCGCTCCTCGCTCTCCTCGCTGGCGGTATGAATCCGCGCGGCCAACTTTTACCGCCACGCTTCCGACGTAATCGAAGCCACATTCCAGCTACCCGCTCTCCATGCCTCTAGCTGATTCGCATTGTTTTCTCGAACTCCGACCGTTATTTCTTCCGTCGTACTTGTCGGATGGGCTAATCGGCAGGAATTAGCATTCGCTGCGGCGCGCTGCCCTCCCACTCCGCCTGCCCTCCCTTTGCCTTTGCCTGGTGGCCTGCCTCGCGGCCTCCTCCGTGCTGGGCACTCTCCTCTGCCCCTGCCGCCGAGGACGCTTGTCTTCCACTCGTCCCGCCGCCGCTGTAGCTCGGGCCCACCAAGCTGGCGACACAGATGGCGATATTCAGCCTCCTCTCGTTGCCCGTTTGCCAGCCCATGTAGGTCTCGGGACTCTGGCCAAGTCATGAACACTCCATTCGTTGCGTTGGTGATGTCCGCCCATGCTGCCACCCCGCGCCTCGCCAGGCACCGCGCAAAGTCGCACGCACATTGCCCCTCGTATAGCATTGGGCCTCGCTCTGCTCGCTCCTTATCTGTCACTGCCCATGCACTCGGGCGCAGCGGGCCCCTTGCCCTCTCTCTCCATCCTGCTGTGGCGAGGGTGTCTGCTCCACTCCTCCACCTGGCCTTCAGGTACGCCTCGATGACGAGGTCATCTGAGAGTTCCTTCTCCCAGTCCCAGGGAGGCTTCCACTCGAGAGGGTTGTCGCTCCTGCAACCCAAGCGCTTCAGTGTGTGCGCGAGGCTGCTCTCCACAGCCAGCCTGGCTGGCTCTCCCTCCGTTGCACACAGCGCCCTGTCCACTTGATCCACCAGCGCAGCGACCGCATAGGTGTATGCGTGCTCCATCTCCATCCCTGCCCCCTCCTCTGCGTCGTACATCTGCAGCTTTGGCACTCCCACCGAGAATCTCCTGGCCCTGAGTGCTGAAGCCCTGACCTGCTCTATGGCCTCACAATCTTCCCACGTGATGACTGTTGACCTGCCATAGTATCCAATGATGCCGCTGAGTGCGAGCGCCATGTTGCGCCTCATCTGCTCCACGGTCAGGTGCGAGAGGTTCCCAACGAGCCATAGCGCGCGCTTGCAATCTCTCCTGACCCGTTCCCTCATGTCCTTCTGCCACTCGCCGTTTGCCCATCCGGTTCGCAGCTCGGTCCCGAGATACTTGTACGTCTCGTCCCCCACTAGCTGAGGGATTATTGTCCCGTCTGGCATCTTCATCTCGTACCCCGTCACGTCCACTTCCGTCCCCTCCTTCCAGTAGGTCGCGGACCATGCAGACTTCTTCTTCTTTTTCACCTGTAGGCTGTTTCCGCATATTTTGGTGACCAGCCAGGCGCACTCGAGCGCGAGCTGCATCGTGGCTATATCGTTACTCAACAGCAGGCAGTCGTCTGCGTATACTAACTGCGGCACGCTCTCCCCTGCCGCAGTGAACTCGAACCCCTGGCATAATTTGCTCACTGCTCGCTGCATCACCGCGAGCATGAGCTTACTCCGTGTAGGCGAGAGCAGGCAGCCCTGGCCTAATCCCTGTTCAATATCAAACCTCGGGCTGAGCCCATAGCCCGTCTCATATCTGCCTGTTAGCCCTGGCAGGTCGCCGAGCCCTTCCCTCAGTGCCTTTAGCACTCTCGTGACGTCTGCTGGCACACCGGCCCACTCCTCCACTCTCCATTGCACCTCATTCACGACGCTCATGAAGTACGTGCCTAAGTCTATGTATCCTCTCACACACATCTTCCTTTCTATCATGCACTCCTCCGCGTGCAGCCTTGCCGTTAGCGTCTGCGCAGGTGCATTCATCCCCTTGGTGAAGCCGCTCTGCGAGCCCGGTACCGTGTGTGCTGCCGCTCTGTCGTATTCTGGCAGTAGCATGCGCATCAGCCCCTTCATAGATTGTGGTTGTACCCAAAGGTCCCGCCTCCTCTCGAGCTCCTTCGGATCCTCCCCCGGCTTCATTGCCATCATAGCAATCCAGTCGTTCCACACTTTGGGATACTGCTCCTCCCGCACAATCTCCTGCAGCAGCCTCCAGTACTCCCTCTGCACTCCCCTCGGCGAAAGTCGGATCAGGTACCCGTCTAGTTTGTCGCTGCCTATGGCCTTTCCTTTCTTGAATTTCCTGATCGCCGCCTCGCACGCCGACCACGTCAACGCGTTAGCCACGAGCCGTCCTGTCCCCTCCACCCCCGGGGGCTGGGCCTCCGCCCTGGCTGGTTTTGTCATTGCTAGGAGCGCCTCGACCGCCACCATGTCCGCCTCCCTCCGCGCGTTGATCTCCTTCCCCCTCCTCGCCGCGGCGTCGCGGACTTCGTCCCCTCGCACCACGTGTCTTTGCCAGACCTGCTCTCCCGTCGTCTGGCAGGTTACCCACTCACCTCCCTCATACATCGCAACCAGCTCCCCCCCGCCCGCTCTTCTGCCCATCTCCTTGTTCAGAATCTCGAAGACTCTCCTGGCATTGTTGCCGCTATTCTCTGTCGCAACCTCCTGCATCACCTCTGTGAGTTTCTCCCCCCCCGTCCGCGGGCACAGGAGGAATTCCTGTTCAGCGTCGCGTCGTTCGCGCTCACAGACCGCCAATGCCCTCGCGCGCCTTTCTCTATTCGCCAGCTGCGGCTGAGCCTCGAGGGCCTTCCAGAGCTGCGCCAGGTTTGGCTCCCTCCAAAAGCCCTCTCCCTCCCATTCCCTCCTATATCCGTCGCTCATTGTGCCGCTCCATTTCTTGACCTCGTGCCGTATCCTGAACCACTTCGCCACTTTCCATCGCAGCCTCTCTCTCTGGAGGGG